AGCAATGGCGACTGGAATGCCAAGAAGGGCAAGAATCAAACTCCCAAGAACAAGAAGGGAATGTCTGCCAAGAAGTCCAATTCAAGAGATACTCTAGTGAAACCAAGACCAGTTAGGTCAAAGTCATCTCGGCGGCTGACTTCAAGTTCAAAAGCAAGTGACAAGGAATCCATCCTAACAAATAAGAAATGGGTTAAATCTGACTACAAATGGGTACCAAAGGTTCATACTCTCAAATCTTTTAATGACTCCAACATTTCTTCATCTTTTGTTTGTAATAAGCAGGATATGCCATGAGAGAGACTACCTTGCGTAGATGACAAAGGTCAACCTATTTTCAAAATAGTCTGGGTTCCAAAGACCAATTAACTCAACCTAGGACACAACCTATGCACCCTACTATCTCTCTAACCCTCTATCTATGTTAGTCATATGTTGTTCCCTCTGCGTGATTGGAAGACATCCGTCTGGGATACAACATATGCATTTCTATATCTATCTTCTCTCTTAATGATTGAATACTCACCTAAATTAAGGTATTCTTTGGAAGTTCTTGATTACTGGGGTATGTCGGGAAGTGGGGAACACGTTCTAGTAGACCTAAAATTGAACTACTTAAAAGGTTGTCTGTAGATCTCGCTGTTGAATTTAAGTGGACAACAATATCTTTGGTCGTCGTTAGCTAAATGGTCCATTTAGGAATATAGGTGCAATGTCTGGTTACTTATAATCTGTCAAATTTGTCCATATCCTTTGTGCTTAAGTGGACCACAATACTAATGATTGACCAGATCTAAACATGGAGGCGTGTGCAGATAAACGATATTGAATTGCTTGACAACTTTAATCCCAAATACTTCGTTTTTTTTTAATTTGTTCATAGTTTTTCTGTATGCACAAATTTAGGGGGAGAAAAATTAAAAATCCAAAAATAGTGATATTTCTGTTTTATTTATTTTTCAGAAAAATCAAAAATCCAAAAATATTTTTGTTTCTATTTTAGTTTTTTCAGAAAATATGAAAAATCCAAAAACATTGTCTGCAAAGTTTTCTTTTAGTTTTGTTTTTATCTTAAAATTTTATTTGTCTTAAAGAACGAACTCAAAGGAAGAAGATACTTAAGGAGATTGTATCGGAACTTTCTGAACCAAGTGATCATTGAAGAATCCTCATTTGAAGGAACAAGAAATGAAGATTATCTTTTCAAGATACAATCTTTTAACCCTAGAAGCAAGGTGAAGCTGTACTTGAAGATTATGTGACGAATTGCATTGAAGCCTCCTCAATCAATTTGCTGCTATCTATGAACTTGCTGAAGTGATCAAGAAGAATCGATCTCTATGTTGGTCTCTCTGAAGATTCTCAAACTGAAAGTGCTTATTTTCAAGAATCCTTACAAGAAGCCTCATCACCCAACGTGCGTTCAAAGCAAAATTTTTGAAGAAAATCCCAATAGTTCAAGATGAAGTCATTCATATAGAAGATTCATATGTTCATCTTGAAGTTGTGAAGAAATCGAAGATTAACGCTGAAGCCAAGCACATATTGAATATTGACAAGAAAAGAAAGTTATAAACCAAGGGGGGATTGTTGGGTCTAAAATTTGGTTTATACTTTTCTTTTCTAGGCATTTGTAGTTTTCGGTCTATGACCGAAAACCATCTTGGGTTTAGTTGTAGCTTGGACCGAAAAATCATGTGATTTCGGTCTAGATATTGGGTTTGATTCTTGGGATTTAGTCCATATGTATAAATAGGGTGGAACATGCATGTTTTAAGAGACTAAACCAATGAGGGAATGTTTTCGGTCAATGGAGGAGCTATCATTGCCATAATTGTGTTCTAGAGAAAGAAAGTAAGAGATAACTTGTGTGTGTGTGTGTGTGAATCTATGTTGGATCATCATTCATATCATCAATACATTGAAGATTTATCTTGTAGTTCTTCTTTTTCTTCTCCATTTTGATCTTGCATCATCCACTTGATTAGGATTCCGCATCATCAAGTGGATCGGATTGATACGTCAAACGATTTTGAGGACTTACAAATCAAACTAATGGACATGTGATTCTAGGTGGAAAAATACAACTCATGTAAAGTATTTACAAAAATAAACTACAATGTTATGTGAAGCGATTTTCATATAAGTACATTCTAAAAGATCAAAAAAAAAAATACATTTTTCATATAACTACATCTCGTTTATTAAGCAGTGAACGTGCAATATAAGAAAACCTTGAAGTTGCCATTAGAGGTGCCTCTTCATCTACTTCTACTCCTTGTGAAAACCTAATCACCATTGTAGAAACCAAGAAAGAATCTTGAAATTCTTGTTTTTTTTTTATCTTTAATCTTGAATTGACGAGAGTGCATGAGACCCTTTTTAGTGTTTGAACAAGTACAATATGCTTCACCATGTGCATAGTAACAACTTAGAACTTTAACATTTCGAACCTGTACAAAAAGGTTGAATCATTAGTAACAGATGGAAGTCTTTATTTTCAACCTGTATAAAACCATATCTAATAAAATTATGGAACTTTACAAAATCTTCTAGTGTGTGTTCTTCTAGCCTTGACTACATTAATAAACAATCCTTGTGTGAAAAAAATTGTTTTAGGATTAAAAAATGGAAAGTTCCAGAAAAGTTATTATATTCTGGGCTTATTAACTATAAAGCCATTTTTTAACAGAAAAAGACAAAATAAAGCCTAGAATATACAGATTTTTCTAAAGATTTCCCCCAAAAGCAAAAGAGAGCAAGATAGAAAGAGAGAATATTGAATACTTACAGTAGCTAGGAGACCAATATTTACAAGCGCTTCCTCGATCTTAAGGGATGATTTTATGTGTTGGAGTGTTTTATGCAACATATTAAGTTTCCCATTGAATGCGGAATTAACCTAAAAATACTATATTTATCAATTTATGATACTATTTAACAAAATTAATCGTGAGTCTTGATAAACTTTTTTTTTTTTCATGAAACTACAAGATCTAATAATAATCATGGTTCTATACCACATTTCAAGTCCATTCTTGATTTCAATAAAGAAAATGGGACCCATTATCATATCATAAATGAAAAAATTGACGAGTAGAAACCGTTGAAAACAAGGCAAGGTCTTGGTTAATGAAACTTGGGGATAATCTACTTCTTGTTTCAGTCTAAACACAACATATAAAAGCAATATGTAAAATGGGATATGAATACATAACCCAATAGCATCATTAGAAAACCATTTGATGGTTACCCCTAAGGGTAATTTCATCACAAAAATATAAGATCCAAGAAATATTCTCAACAACCAAACACTCAAGTTTTTGAATATTATGGGGGAAATAAAGTTCTTCAAGAACCAAGTTATACAAGGCAATACAAAAACATTAAGAAACTCAACTTATATAAGGAACTCAATATTTGTGGAGGTTTTTTCATTGCAGTATTTCATCGAACACTTGATGTTCATAAAAAATTTAAACAACAATGACAATGCCTATAAAATTACTTGAAACTAACTAGAAGTTCAATTACCCAAAATGAAAGAGTAATAAAGAACTTATAACAACAAGAATCACTAACATAATTTCTACAATTTAAACAAATTAAACCAGTTCATCATACGTTAATCTTCGATTTGAACAAAATCAAACCAAGTCATCCGTTGAATAATCATACCTTGCTCTTGAGTTGCACAAATTTACTTAGGAGTAACTAGTTCCGCGTCTGCTAACATTTCACTCAATTTTACAATTTTCAAAGATTTCGCACACCGGTATACTGACAACCATAAATCATATAACAACAACTTCTTTAGGTGATAGCGATGGAGGATTTTGAATGAAGATTAGAAGGGTCGATGAAAAAGGAAGAGATTATGTCTTTTCTTTTTTAATTATCAAGGGTATTTTAAGGATATGGAATTAAATTAGATGAGATAGAAGCAATTTAATTTTTCTAAAGATAACTAGTTCCGCGTCTGCTAACATTTCACTCAATTTTACAATTTTCAAAGATTTCGCACACCGGCATACTGACAACCATAAATCATATAACAACAACTTCTTTAGGTGATAGCGATGGAGGATTTTGAATGAAGATTAGAAGGGTCGATGAAAAAGGAAGAGATTATGTCTTTTCTTTTTTAATTATCAAGGGCATTTTAAGGATATGGAATTAAATTAGATGATGAGATAGAAACAATTTAATTTTTCTAAAGATAACTAGTTCCGCGTCTGCTAACATTTCACTCAATTTTACAATTTTCAAAGATTTCGCACACCGGCATACTGACAATCATAAATCATATAACAACTTCTTTAGGTGATAGCGATGGAGGATTTTGAATGAAGATTAGAAGGGTCGATGAAAAAGGAAAAGATTATGTCTTTTCTTTTTTAATTATCAAGAGTATTTTACACCCCGTTCCCGAGTTGTAGCAGAGAAAAGAAGAGAAGAGAAAAGAAAGTAAGGAGAGAAAAGAAGAGAAGAGAAAGGAAAAGAAATTTGTGTTTTGTGTTCCCGAGTTGAAAAGAAATGGAAGGAAAGTTAAGCATTTTGTTCTTTCTCTCCAAATCCTTCCAAATCGGAAGGAAAGTTAGGAGGGAAAGTGATCCCTCCATTTCCTTCCACTTTCCTCCTTTAATGAAACTCGGAAACACCAATTTCTCTTACTTTCCTCCCACTTCCACCAATTTCCTTTCTTTTCTCTCTTTAAATTGAACTCGGGAACGGGGTGTTAAGGATATGGAATTAAATTAGATGATGAGATAGAAGCAATTTAATTTTTCTAAAGATAACAGTAACATTACAAGACAATGAAACAAAGTCGAGAATTATAAAATGGTTCGTTTTTACAAAAAAAAATAAATTAAAAAATAAGTTATCAGGTGAAGACCACCCTCCGTAGTCAATCGCCAATCCACCGAGTGACCCCAAAAGTTCCGTAGTCCCAATCCATCTTCACTCTCTCTCTCTCTCTCTCTCTCTCTCTGAATACAATGAGGGGGCACGATTGGATAAATTCAGTGTTACCAGATGAGTTGATCCTGGAGATCTTCCGCAACCTCGATTCGAAGTCGAGCCGGGATGCGTGCTCTCTCGTCTGCCGGCGTTGGTTGACCCTCGAGCGCTTCAGCCGCGACACGATCCGAATCGGTGCCTCCGGTAGCCCTGATGCACTCGTTGACCTTCTCGCTCGTCGTTTTCCTAATGTCACCAACGTTTACATCGACGAACGCCTCTCTGTCTCTCTCCCCGTCGATTTCGTGAGTTCTCTTTCCCTAAATTGATCTGCTTTTTAGGTTATTATCTATATGTTAGGTCAAAATATTGATTTTGGTGTATCGAGATTCCGGCATAAGCGTGTAGTGAGATTGGGTTTGTCTATATGAAAAAAAGAAGTAATCTCCATCGGCTTATGTTATAGTTTTTCATACACTAAAATGGTGTGATATAAGTTGAATTCCTACACACCGAAGAGTGGATGTTGAAACAGTTTAAACCTGTTAGGAGAATTATTGAAGATCTTATTATTATTTTTTTTCTCTTCGTTTTGGAACAAGCAGATTAGGAGTAATAATCTTTTAAAACGATACATAACAATTAATTACATATTGCATCTTAGTCTTACTTAATCAGGTCTAACAGCCCCAGATCCGTATTATTGAACAAACCATGTCTTTCTTGCTTTAAATTACATTGTCTTGGAGGTGATTGAGATCGGAATAAACTCAATTCTGCATTAAGAAATGTTTCTCTCTTACTCGGTTACTTACTTACTTGTGACTTTATATGGCAGATAAACAAGAAGTTACATACGGTTGTGTATGTGTTCACCAAAAGTGTTTAAGTGAACAAGAAAGATGTGTATTACTTAGTTTTTTTTTCCTTCCATCTGAGATTTGTTGATGGCTTATTAAAATATGTACTGAAATCGACAGTTAATTGACAATAATGTCAAAAACCATAGAATTGTAGTTGGGTGATAATGGATGATATAAGGGCAAAAAATAGCTTGTTGAAGCAACCAACCAAACCATCCATGTTTTTCCATTTTAGGCAACAAATTACTTAATTTTGCCATTCATAACTAACAATTGAATGTCCCCTATTACTTAATGAATCGATGAGGAAAAATTTATCTGATATATACTAGTTCCTTTGCATCAAGAGAGTCTAGCATACATTTCTGTTCCAAAAAGCACCTATTTGGAATATTTAGATACATGTTATCTTTGTAAGTTACCCTTCATTTTTTATGATGAGTTTCCAAACTCATAGAGAATCGAGTCATTAATAGTAATTTATGACTAATGAAATCAGGGAAGAAGGCGCAATCCTAGTCACTCGGCTCTTTCATGGCTCAGGCTTCATTTTGTATCTGAGAGAAGTGAGCCTGGAGGTAGTGAATCAGATTCATATTGTATATCAGATGCTGGTTTGACAGCTGTTGCAGATGGATTTATGAAACTTGAGAAACTGAGCCTCATATGGTGCTCAAATGCCACAAGTGCAGGCCTCAGATCTGTAGCTGAGAAGTGTAGATTTTTAAAATCTTTAGATTTACAGGTAAATATCTCTTTTCACTGTGAAGTATGAGAATCACTTTGGTTGAGTTTTTATGTCTGAATTTGAGTCCTTAATGAGTATCATGTTAAAAAACATGTGACTTTATAAACTCTATACAGCATCTGTCCCTAAATGTACTTTCTTGGAATAAATTGTGTGTTTATTAAATCTCCCACTTTCGTTTCTTCCTATTGAAAAATTGTACTTTGAGAAATCTACCCAATTATGGCAATGTTGTACCTATACATAGCATTTTAAGTAGAATGTTGTAATAGAAAGAAATGGAAGTAGACTATGCTATTGCTAAATGTACTTTCTTGGAAAAGATCTTGGGTTAAAAAAAGAAACAGAAATCTAATGTGACTTTTATTTATTTATTTGTTTTGAAAGGGTTGCTATGTTGGAGATCAAGGTCTGGTGGCTATTGGCAAGTGTTGCAGACAACTAGAAATTCTAAATTTAAGATTTTGTGAAGGTTTAACAGACACTGGTTTGGTTGAGTTAGCCTTAGGATGTGGGAATACTCTGAAATGGCTTGGTGTTGCTGCATGTGCTAAAATAACAGACATTTCATTAGAAGCTGTTGGATCTCATTGCAGTTCCCTTGAGACATTATCTTTAGACTCTGAGTTTGTTCACAACAAAGGAGTCCTTGCTGTTGCAAAAGGGTGTTCTCTTTTGAAGAATCTGAGTCTTCAATGCATTAATGTCACAGATGAGGCTTTAACTGCTGTTGGTGTCTTTTGTTTGTCACTGGAGTCTTTGGCTCTCTACAGTTTCCAGAGATTTACTGATAAGTTAGTTTCTCTATTTATATATTCATATCATATCTTGTTTTTATAAATGTCCTATCTTAAAGAATTTGAGCTAGTTTTAATTCTGTTTTGATAATTTGTAGTTATACACTTATTGTTCCACTTGAAGTTGAATATTTTAGGTGTTGTAATCATGTATGTGTATTTATTGTCTTATTAGGAGTCTTTGTGCCATTGGGAAAGGATGTAAAAAGTTAAAGAGTCTGATGCTTAGTGATTGCTATTTCCTGAGTGACAAGGGATTAGAAGCAGTTGCAGCTGGTTGCCTTGAGCTTGCACATCTTGAAGTTAATGGTTGCCACAATATTGGCACATATGGACTTGAAAGCATTGGAAGATCTTGCATGTAAGTTTTGTGAACAATGACAATAATACCCCCAACAGTAAGAGGACACAATATTAGTTTTCTCTCTTTTCCTCTGTTATATTTAAGAGTCATTACTTGTGTCACCCTCTTTTCCTCTTCCTTATTGATTATGGATCTATCATGTGCACATCAAATGACATAAATGCCCTCCTCATCCTTATCATCAAATCTAGCCCTAGAAAACTTTCCCCATCCCAAGTAAGAAACACAACTGAAATCCTAGAATTTTTAGTAAGAAAAAAAATGGAAGTGTAATTAATGCTTTAATAGATAGAAACGAAAGTACAATGTTATTTCTTGCATTTTAATCTGTACAAATACATTTGCAGGCGTCTTACAGAGTTAGCTTTGCTATATTGTCAAAAAGTAGGAGATGAAGCCTTATCTGAGGTTGGAAAAGGATGCAAGTATTTGGAAGCTCTTCACTTGGTGGATTGCTCAATCATTGCT